CGTACATGAGTAGCAGAAACTATTGCACAATGAGCAAAAAATGACTGAAAAAAGTCTTCTTAATCTCATCACTGCTTATCATTCTTCTTCTTCTTTTTCCGATAGTTCGGCGTGCGCGTGTATAGTATTTTTCTTTTTTTCGTTCACTTGCTTGTGTCCATCAAACAACACATGTTTTATCTTTTCACGTTCTTGACTTGTATATAAAACTGCTGCGTCTTTGGGTTCTGTTAATGTGGTCTTCTGGTAAAACGCCAAAATACTAAGACGAACACCAAAATCAAAATAAATGCTTCCTGTGAGTATTTCGACCGCCGTTTTTTTGCGTTCCACTTTAGCGCCTTGAATGCTGCACAGCTGGATTCAGCGCATCAACGTAACTGCTCGAGATTTTCGATTTTATCCTTTCCTGTCAAAATGTATCTTTTTCTTTTTCTACGCCAAGCAATCCTTCAAGTAGGTCATTTTCGACTAAGTCGCACGTGTTTTGTCCAAACTGGCTCAAACTCTCAGACTGTAGGTAGAAACTGATGCCGAAAACGATGGGGTGGTGTCGGAGTCTTGGGAGGATTTCTAGAAAACGCGCCAAAGCTCTTCGGGAGCTCTCACGCATGTAACGTCGGAGATTGTGACTGAATTTCACTTGACTAGTCCACTGGTTCGAACTTTATTCTCGAACACAAGAAAATAGTACAAAAGCAAGACATGGTGAAAAAAAGTACAAATATCTGAGTGAGGACCTGAAGCTGCTTGAGAAATACAAGTAAAAACCCCCGATCTTGATTGTCATCAATCTTGGTGTTGACGATCTTTCGATGCGACTTGACCTCACTCTTACACAAGGTGCTAAAGAACAGACACAATACTTCCTTGTATACTTCTAATTTAGAGATCATCCTTTCAAAGATAATTTTTCAAATTTCAAACAATAGATTTTTCCTTTCAATTAGGTTTTGTCGACAAATTCATATAGCACATCTGAGAAACCCTGAGACGCGCACGACAGAAAGAGTGATGTTTTTACGGACGGCCGAATCTCAGAATCATTTTTACATAGATCGACAGGCCTGAATGCTAGCTACGTCGCTATATAAACATTTTTACTAACAATTAACTGAAAACATACGAAATTCGCGGCGTCAATGTTGAAAGAATGAAAAGATCATTGATCTCGTCGATCGCTTAAAAGATATAAATGTAGGATATCGCTCCTTACCATTTATTGTGTTGTGTTACTGAGAATATTTTTAGTCGATGTTTTCAACATTCATAATAAATCAGTCAACGTTGATAATACAAAAAAAAGTCGTATATGGATAATAAATCTTACAGTATACAAATAATCTATCATAGCGAATTAATCAGAAATATATCCAGTCCCATAGCACCTTCAAAAAGGCGTCCAGAAAACGTTTTAGCTTTATATTACCTAAGTCTTTTCCCGTGGAATCAGAGAAGTGCATTGTCTTGAATTTAGAAACATTTTTACATCACTGAGGGATACTAGGAGGATTAGGAGAAAAGTCACAACATCTTTCAGATAGTCCGCGAGCGTTGTCTTCGAGTCATAGGTCATGAAAGACCATTCGCAGATATAAGGTCCTAGAGCCAAGGAACATAGCGAGTGCAGACGAACATTATCTTGTTTGCTGCAGACTGGTTTAATTTGGATAGATTCAAAAGAAAATTCATAAGGTTTCTTAGAGATCGTCAGAGAGTTATGCGTTTCCTTCAGTAGAATTTCAAATTTCTTTTGAATTTACATCGATATTTTTTTCCAACAGTTGCTGACAGTTTGAGTTATTATGGTTAAAAACTGAAACTGGTGCATACCTATTCATAACGAGTACATCGTATCACGATAAAACAGTTAATTTAATAGAACCGATTATGATGAAAAGGTTTGAAGATCGTCTCAAAGAGATTGAACGAGAGCTCGCTAGTTTTGATAAGCGTATCAATCATATAAAACGCTATAATCGTCCATTCAGCATTCATATTCTCAATGTACCGAAAAAAGATAATGAAGGTCTGTTATAAGTAGTCTCTGATATAGCGAATGAAATTGTCGGATTTATCCACTTGCTGATGATCACTAGAATCTATCAGGGAAACGACCGTTCGTAATATTTCGTATCGTATTCTTATTTTATGTCTTTATTCTTGTCCAAAACATTTTCATTTTTTTATCATCTAAGCAAAATTTTCGTCAAAATTGCATAATACTCATCTATGAAAATTCCTAACCTAATTTTTCACGAAGAAATAACTGATCTATAGTGTTTCGACAAGTCTCCAGATAAAGTAAAAATGCGTGACACTACATTACCGCGAAGACTCGTTTATTGGAAAAGAAGAATAAATGAGCCTGGTTTTGTATTTTGTATATCATGTCGCATCAGGTGGAGGGGGGGGGAGAGCAGTGTGAGAGTGAGTTCGAAAAGTAATTTCACACAAAATATATTTTTTTCTACCAACGCACGGAGAGAGAATATTTGGGAACAATTACTTACTAATATTTATATGCAATGGGGTCAAGGTTTTGCACTGCTATCAGTTTATCGTGTACCGAAGAGAAAACCGGTCAAACACGATAAGCAGTGAGACTGGATATCAGTAATTGTATCACATAATGACTATTAACTACATAACTTCGCCCAGGTTTCAAAATATGATATACAAAATACAAAACCAGGCTCATTTATTCTTCTTTTCCAATAAACGGGTCTTCGCGGTAATGTCGTTTTTTGTATTCGCGGTAATGTCGTTCGCGGTAATGGCGCTGCATCTAAAAATGTTTTATTCCGTCATAAATAAAGCGTCATACTTTGTAACAGATTTGATTCCATAAAAATGATCGATTAGATTTAACATGATCGTCAACTTCATTTACAACACAGTCACAGGCATGAAACTTTCGAAAAAAACATCTGAAGTTATCTTTACATGAAGCGATGTCAAATATGAGAAAAAACCTATTACAGGTGCGAACTACTTATTCCAATCACAAGCACTTACGTACCTCACAGGATCCTTTTTCCCTATTTACAGCGTTAAAACGCTATAAAACATGCCTTTTCTTAAATTATGGTATTACAACGCTACAGACGTAGCCCGTCGTGTTATAACGCGTTGCAAAGTTATTTTCAGGAATTTATAGCATTATAATTAGATAAAAATTTTCATTACGTTACAAGTCTATAAATTTAGAGCATTATAATGCGTTTCGATTTTTTTCTCGTTACAACGCAAACAATCACTGATATACGGCGTAAACGCGTTTAAAACTAAATAATACACATATATTCCTGAATAAAAGTTTATCTTTTCTCGTTTAAACGGGTTAGAATATATTTTAACTCGTTAAGTGCATAACCGTTCTAGTGCGTTAGAAAGGTAATTTTTCAGTCACTGTTTTGTTTTGCATGACCAACTCATATATAAATACCACGTCTTTCCCTACGAAATATACGATACATTCACTCAGAACGTTTTCCTCTTATTACATATGTGTGTAAGAGACTGATCTACCATAATGATGCTGATGAACAGTATCTAGTAGGTCATGGCTAGATTGATCTTGGGGTCCATCAACAGAACAAACACTTGACTGAAAAGAATAAACGCACTATAACGCGTTAAAATTACATTTTGACCCGACGTATTATTCTAACGAGTGTAAACGCATCCAATTCAATTTTTAACGCTTTTGAACGATTTATGATTATGTGGAGGCGTTATCACGCACGACAAATTCTTACTCGTTAGAATCACCGAATATGAAACATTTAACATGATTCTAACGCGTTAGGGTTATAAAATTTTCACGATTAACAAGTTAGGACGTCGTCTTCATATTTTTTTTTATGAAACCGCGTTTGACTGTATTTAGAATTCATTTCCAGTCCTACATACTTTGTAAAATAAGGCATTTGCACGCATTCAGCAGTATTTAGCTAGTTTGCATGCATTAAATTTTTCTTTTATTTAACGCCTGCTAACGCGCGTTAGAGTATCAGAATTATTTCATGGGTTATACTACGTTAGATTCTAAGGTATTATAACTCGTTTGAGTTTTCTACTTCAATATAATGCGTTACAAAATAAATTTGTTATAATACCTTAGATGTCTTATCTGATGATAATGCCATAAATTTGGAAAAAGCTTTTATAGAGTTATAACTCATTAGATAATGTATATCGTGTTGTAACGAGTTAATATCTGATAGATTACAATGAATTATTCTTCTTATGATTGAAAATCTGTTCAACGTTGAACAGATTTTCAATCATAAGCATACAGACCGAGAACTTTTCGATGACCATTGTCCTAACAAAAAACTGCATGTGCCGTAATCTGGTCTTAAACATTCGATAATACATACGATAGGATAGGGATTTGTTTCACATAGTGTTGAGTCAAAAGGCTAACTGTAGATCTTCACAATAATGGTCGTTTAAACGATCATTGGTACAAACGTATTAAAGTCATCGAACTGATACAATACTGCTGACATATAGTAACCTTACTTTGATAAAATAATAAGAATTATTAAGTACAATAAATCACTTTGCCATTCTGAATACACGCCAGTCGTTTTATTTATAAGTTGAATTGGTCGAATAATAAACTCTATACCATCTACTAGCCCATTATTATAGGGACCGTGGTTCATTTTTATAAATCTTAGGCCTATAAAGAAACCTTTTGAGTATTTCGGAATAATGCCAGTTTCTCGACGCAGCCACCATCCACTTCTATTATTCCGATGAATGTTCGTCACTATCTCTATATAAAAAAGAGCAAGCATAAATGGTGTACGCAATGAACTTCACATACCTAAACTGGAATCATACAATAGCTTGTTATCCCATGACGTAAATCCTACACTAATCACAGAATAGTCACTGTCAGATTCTATGCCGCCTACGAACGCTGATAATTCGAAGTATGCTTTAAAAGAATCTATGAAACGAGAATAATATTTTAAATCTATATGCTAGTAGAAATCGCCACTTGGATCATTGACTTTTCCACCCCAAAATCCACAGTCACTACTTAATGTTTCATTGAACGAGGCAAAGGCGTTATAATCAATTACAGTGGCTATAATTGGTTCAGTGTATTGCCAGTAAGGATAATCATTTGACGCAGTTTCTAGATCTTTAGCACATTCGCTTAAATTAGCATTACCATTCAGAATCAGATTAGATGAATCGAATCTATCCGAATCTTCTACGACTTTTTGTATTGAACACATACGATCCATTAGGCAGAACTGAATTTTTTATTCTTAAATCTCTGTTCGGTAAAAACGCTCCGGTAAAGTTTACATCAAAAAATATTGCACCGTACATCTCGGATCCTCGAAAATCAGCTTGAATTAATTCGCATTCGGAAAAGTTTGTTCCCTCCAAATAAGTGCTTGTAAATTTGATGCCTGTCAGAATTGAGCCAGAAAAATCTGCATTCCCGAGATCAGTGTTAGTGAACGATGCATTTATCAGATAGACCTGTCTCGGTGTTTTCCAGAGTCCAAGGTCAAAAACCCATCCTCCAGTATAGAACCCTTTTTTTAAATATACTTCAAGCTAGAGATCTCGGATTGGTTTTATTTTAAAC